TCATCAAAACTCGAATTTTGTAAGTGTGAGAAAAATAAGTTTAATTTTTTAAACTCATTTTCATTAATTTATTTGCTTAGTGTAGATTACAAAACAATTACAGTTTACAAAACCTTATTAATAAAAGTGTCAAAAACCTATTTTTTTTGAGTTTGAAAATCAAAATTACATCTCAAGTTTAAAAACCTTGAAATAGATCAAATTATGAGATGATTCAAAAATGATCTTTTTCAAAATAATATATCACAAACATTCAATATTGAGAAAACTAAAAAATTCAAACGCAAAATTTACAAAACCTTGTCCAAAACCTCAAAAAGTGTCAAAAACCAATTATTTGGGTTGATCTTGAAGATCAAAATCTTGGAATACCTCCAAATTATAAGATGACTCGATTATTATTTCATTAAAAAATTACCAATTTATAAACTTTTTGGGTAATTTTTGTCACCAAAACTCGAATTGTGTGAAAAAACTACAAGTGTGAGAGAAATAAAATTTAATAAAAGTGTCCCATTTTTTTTTTAATTTTTCACATGATCTTAATTTAAAACTCAAATTTCGTAAAAAAACCCAAGAATTGTGTAAGAAATAAGTTAATTTTTTTTAATTTTATTCATTTGCTTAGTGTAGTTACAATTTTTAACACTCTGTATATTGAAAAAAAGCTCTACTTATTTTGGCTGATTTTTGAATATAACTTACTTATAATATAATACTTATGAACTTATTTAAGCAAAATTTACAAAACCTTATTAATAAAAATGTCAAAAACCCATTTTTTTTGACTTAGAATATCAAAATTACATCTCAAGTTTAGAAACCTTGAATAGGTCCAATTATGAGATGACTCAAAAATAATCTTTTTCAAAATAATATTTCACAAACATTCAAAAATTAATAAAACTAAAAAATCCAAAAGCAAAATTTACAATTTTTTTTAAAGTGTCAATTATTTAGATTATTCTTGAAGACCAAAATTTCGTCTTGGAATACCTCAAATTATAAGAAGATGACTCGAAAATTATTTCATTAAAAAATTACAAATTTATGAACTTGGGTAATTTTTGTCACCAAAACTCAAAATGTGTGAAAAAACTACAAGTGTGAAAGAAATAAAATTTAATAAAAGTGTTAAAAACCCATTTTTTTGATTCTAAAAATTAAAATTACATCTCAGGTTTAGAAACCTTAAAGTAGGTCAAATTATAAGATGATTCCAAAATGACTCTATAACAAAAACATTTTTTCACATGATTTTTGTTACCCAGTAAAACTCAAATTTCGTAAAAAAAACAAAAATTGTGTAAGAAATAAGTTAATTTTTTGAAATTCCATTCAACCTCCATTTATTTTGGCTGACTTTTGAAACCAAAATTTAAATCTTCAATTTTTCAAAATATTGTATTCCTACCAAATAATCAAAAAACAAGAAAACTTAAAAAATCCAAAAGCAAAATTTACAAAATTAAAAGTACTAAAAATCAATTATTGTTGTTGGTCTTGAAATCATAAGATGATTCGAAAATTACTTCACTAAAAAAGTACCAATTTATAATTTTTTTCCCTAATTTTTACATTCATTTATTTACTTAATGTAGTCATCATTTTTGGCACACTGTATATTTAGAAAAAAGTTTTTATCTTGCTCATTTATTGTGCCTAAGCATTTGAGCAAATTTTACAAAACCTTGGGTATGAAAAAGTGTCAAAAACCTGTTTTTTTTATTTTGAAAATCAGAATTACAATCAAGTTTGGAAACCTTGAAATAGGTCAAATTATAAGATGATTCCAAAAGTATTTTCCATTTTTTAGATGATTTTTGTTACCAAAACACGAATTTTGTAAAAAACCAAAAAAATGTGTAACCCTATTTTCATTCATTTATTTTTTTTGTATTATTTAAAAAAAATACTTTTCAGCCATTTAATTCAAATTTTTGATTTGCATGTTTTATCATTTTGATTTTGTCAGCTAATTTGTTTTTGTGGTGTTATTTATAGACGTGATAATCACCTAATTGCATTAGATCCGTCTGCAATGTCACTGTTGTTGTGCATCAAATGCAATTTCCGTGAGTAAGGTCAAAAATTGAAATAATTCGAAAAAAAATTCAAGCATGTGTTACGTGTTTGTACAGCGTGAGAAATATTCATATAAACATTAAACTGTTTGTTTGAAGAACAGTGTAAACCTGTCTCTGTCTCCAGACAAAAGATAATGGTATTTACACTTCGATATATTGAGATGAAAGAACCAAGGTTTATGAATTACGGCAGTTAATAACAGTAAACACTTTGAAAGCAGCTCAAAAATGACGAATTTTTTTGGTGAAATTCTCGACCACTTATCGCGCTAATAACTCGAGGAATTCGATTGTTCGTTATTTGAAAATTTAATAAATTACTCAGCACTTTTCTAGCCAAAATACCGGGATCGATAATGCGCTTCTTATCAGTAGACGTGACTTAAGTCTGATTCAGAAAAGCGCCTATTATGTTTCTTGGGAAGAAAATGCGCTCGCATTTTTATAGTTTCAGCCATAAACACTTGTTTGTCTAATTAATTTTATTGCACGTTAAATACGTATAATAAAATTGTGAACCGCACCTTGTTAGGAGGCTTTGTTTGGCCACTAATTAAATACGATTTTCAAAAGTTGGATGCGTGAAATCGAGAGCAAGAAGAAACCTTAAAAAGTGCGTGAGAACGAGCTTTCGAGACCACAGAAATTGGGTCAAGGAGCTTTAGGAATTTTTATCATGAAATTTAAATTACACAAAATTTTATTAAACTTTTTTTTTTTCAAAAGTTGAAAGCGACCGTTACGAAATCTCCTATTTGCTTTAGTTTAGTCTAATCCACTGAATTCTATTTATTCAAAGATATAAACAGGTAAAAGACACACACACTGTCGTCATATCCGGAGATGAACACAATTTTTCGTTTCATTCTCTTGAAAAATCCTAATTCATAAGAGGTTTTTTCCGTTTTGATTAAATTCTTCAGTTATCAATTATTGGAATTGGAGATTAAAATCTGTAGTAGTTAATGACTAGACTTTTTTTTTGTGATAACTTTGTATTCTTTTAAGAGTTATTTATGTTTCAACGCAGTCATAAATTCATTTATGCCAAAGTTGTAAACCAAAAGGCTCATTATTATTTATTATGTTCTCGAATTTATTTATAGGTGCGCATAGATCATTTTTCTTCATAATAAACTACACGGCGTAAAAATGTTTGTTGTGATTAATTTGCAAAAAAAGAATAACGATCATTTTGAGTACTTTTTTATGTCTATTAAAAAAATTGGAGAAAACCAAGAAAATTGGAGTTTTATTCAGATTTCTTTTCATTTTTCCAGAAAAAGGATTTAGATCAATATGTTTTATCTAAAATTCAAATTTGAAAAGAAGAAATCTTTAATATTTTTTTGTTCGTTTTATTGTTCTGAAACTTGTAATTTTGAAATAATTGACAAAAATGAAATAAAAATTTAAATATAATTATTTAAATTATATTAAATTATTATTTTGGGATAATTGGTAAGCTCGACTTACTGAAGATCTTGATCTAAAAGTAAAAATAAAGAATTGG